ACGAAATATTTACTTAAATTACCCGGGCCGTGCTTTAACACATTCTCGCGTGCGTCAGTTCCGCCGGGGATAACCGCGGGCTGCACTCCTCCGCACTTTCGATCCGTGATTCAATTTTGTTTCACTTTGTTCGCTACACACACGTTATGTGTCTTCGCTCGCGCCTGACCCGAAATTAATTTAGCGCAAACATTTCCCTCTGATTCGGCAATATCGTCTATCTCATCGTCTATCGCGCGCGACCACAAAATTGCCTTACTTGTAATATCGCGCGCGGTAAAAATCGAACGAGCAACTGATTATTCGTGGAATCGTAGTCGAAAAAAAGTCACGTTTTGGGAATACGCACATTAGAATTCCACTTTTGCGTGGAGATCGAAAATTATTAACAATTTTTTTGTAAATAAATAATAAAGGAGTCGTCCTTCTAAGAAATCGGAATGAAATCTTGATTATCCGCGGACAACGCTTCGCCGATAAGATTAATCTTCCGTTGTGTATTTTTTTGCGAGTTCCCGCAGCAGCACGTGACATGAATTATTGAAAGCCTTGCAGAAAATTATTCCGCCGGCTTTAGGGCGGTGTCAGATACGACGCGTGTCAGGATACGCGGGTTGTTTTGCCGGTGGGAAAAGAGTTCGGAGTAAGCGGCGTAATGGCGAGGCGGACGAGAGCGGCGGTTCTATCAATTCCGCGCGTAATAAGAGTAACAATTTGCCGAAGGTGGGGAGAGTATAAGCGCGCTCTCTTGCACCCCCTTCGGCTTGTGCGGTGCGCTCTCACGCACTGGACGAGGCGGACGGCTCGTCGGTGAAAAATTGGCGCGAGCGTTACCCCGAGGCGAGGCTCTCTTTAACCCGCATGTAATATCCATGCAACTGGTATACGCGTCTGCCGCATGCAAGGGCCGCCTTTGAGCGCATTTTTGCAGAGACTTTTATTGCCCGTATAATTGCGTAATTCTTGCGTGCGGCTGCAAACCGATAATCCGCAATTCTCTCACTTTTTCTTACTCTCTCGCGGAACATTTTTGCTTCGCGTTTTATTCACATACTGTCCGCGGTGCCCGTAACAATATTTCTCCCTTTAACTGTTTTTACTTTCGCCTTTATTCTTTTTACCGAAAGTACGTAATGCGCAAATTGGATTGTTACGGATTGTACGGAACGTTGTTTGTCACGCTTGTCTGATAAGTTTGCAACAATATTTTGGACGTTTACATTTTGCATGAAGTAACTTTATTTTCGATCTCAGTGTCAGTTAGTTTGAAGCTAACGAGTTTTGTAGAAATTTTTTCTGTTTTTATGAAGAGTTTTACTACTGCTCGTTTATATCGAGCAATATTTATAAAAGAATCATTCTATAAAATATGAACAATAGAATAACATAATACTTGCTTTGAAAATAAAATCACAAATGTGAACGCGATATGAGTTGTAAAAAAAGAATTAAAAGATAAACATAAAAAAATATAATAACATATAAATGTTAATTGATAGCTCAAAACAAATTTTGTTATATGATTAAGGAGTCAATTTTCAGATGAATTTCTATATTATTTTTAACCTTTGTATTTTTATTCTCTATTTTGTAAAATGAAACGATCCGGCGCTCGCTGCGCGAAGATAAACTATTTTGATAGGTCGCGCTTAAATATATATTGTTAAATCTGCATTCAGAACCAAGACATTTACCATGCGAATTGGTCTTTTAGCCGTCAGCGTAAAAATATAATCAAAGAAAAATGCTGCAGATTCGCGTTATTATTCTTTTTGTGCGAGGAAACGGTATATTCGTAATGCGACTAAAGCAAAATATGAAAACGAAGGAGGTAAGGGAGAAAATACAAAAGAAAAAGAGAGGGGGAGAATGAGCAAAGCGGGTCGAGATTCACTGGCTGCACTTGTGCATCCCGCTACTACTTAACGTAAGTAGTTCGTCAGAAGCAGGTCAGGCATCGATGTGTACACTAGAGAGGAGTGCATAGTCGCTGTGCATTTCTAGGTACCTCATGGGTCGTAACACGATTACCGAAAGTCTCTCTCACTTTCTTCACTTCGATAAAGTTCTCGGGCTGGTATCGAACGCGATTGAGTCGCGAATCGAAAAGGAGTATTACGGTTTCCTCGCGCTGCCAATACGAAACGTCTGTGTGACGATATGCGATGGTAACGTTATCGATACTCGCGCGCTAAAAGCGTCAGATAAAAGTATCGGAGCTGTCCGTGCTCGCGCCGTTGCCGAGACGTACGATCCTTGTGCGATAAACACTATCGCACAATCGAAATCGCGCCGATGGGAAGCACCTCGTAAACATATTTCCGCCATATGCAAATCGGTATTAATAGCAACTTCGGGCCTAACGAAGTTATTGATCTTACGATGTTACTCTATATAGCACGTGTCAGAGATATCGCGCGCATTGTCGCACAAAATTAGAAATTTCACAACTAATTTTAACCAAAAATCGATTTTAAAATTAATTCCAAATTCTCAATATATAATCTTTTATTAAATTAAAATGTTTATAAAACTATCTATATATGTATTTTCCTTTCACATGCATCGAACGTCGCGTTAAAATAATTTGAAAATAAAACTTGCAATGAATGATGAATTTTTCTGTTGAGCAAACAAGTCTTGCGCAATGTCGCAAATGAAATATTCAAATTAGACGCGTTGAGCGACGTTGCCCTAAAATACCGAAACTCGTAGGAAGAAAACGTCATGAGCGAAACTTGGGCGAAGTTACGATGCTAATAAACCTCTTTATTGCGCCGTGAAGAAACCCATCCGCTTTATTTTGCTGAAAATCGAGCTGAAACTGTCATTGTAATAAAAAATGTCATGTCGGGAAGATGAACAGTTAGATGAGTCGTTCCATCAAGAGACAAGATTAATCTGGTCATAATTTTATCATTAAAGTTAACAATAGCTAACAGCTATTTTCGCGGTATCGTCATTCATAATCTGATGTACAGAATCTAACAAAAATATGCAGAATCGCTCAGATTTTATAACTTGAACTTTGTCTTTTATTTTTGTACACAAAATGAATAAATATTAAATAAAAAGTTGAATTTTAATCAAATTTATTTCTCTTATTTCTGTATTGTTAAATGATCAATAAAAAAGTATCAGGTTTAAATTTAATATAAAAAACGAATTTTTTCGGTTACTCGATTATTAACATAACAATAAAAAAGTAACATTTTGGTTAAAAAAAGATGTAAAAAGATAGAAAGAAGTTTGAGAGATACCTGATATTAATAATGTCGATATTTCCACGTCTCTCCACATTAATGCAGGTTCAATGATCAAAGATAGATCGATGAAAATAGTGTTACGTTTGAGTTGATCGCATTCTCAGTAATCTGACAGTAATCCTAACATCGAGTCCAGAACTGGCGCGTGCAATACTGAAGCCGATAATATCGTCCGTCGAACATGACGGTGACAGACGTCATTATCGATTATGTACGATAAGTGCGAGCCACGCGCGATCCTCGATCCACTGCGCGCGTATACACTATATTCGCCACGGCTGGATCGCGTATTCCATTTGTATTCGCACTTGACAGCCAAAGTTCGCACGTACCTACACGAACGTAAGGAACCTGATTTTCACGTGACGACAGCGCATCAATTCTTCGCCGGTCATAGCACGCGAACACGATGGCAGATTCCGATACCCGCAAAATGGCTTTCTTCACGCTACGGTCCGACGCTTCACCTTCGACGTTTTCAGATATAAGTCATTTATCTCGAAGACGCTAGACCGTCAGTTCTAGAGTTCCAGAATTCAGTCTTCCAGAATAAATCCGCGAAGATCGATACATCGCGTCAGTTTATATTCACGTCTTGCGCGAGTCTTCTCAAGTATAATGTTTCTTTATAAATCCGGAAAACTGCGATACGAGGTCGCCGGGCGGACAATTGTCGTCGCATAGGATCGGCAGACAGGTGCATAATGGCACGGGTTCAGCTATGACGGCACGTGCCGGCTGTGATCCCATTAAGATGTACGCTGTCCAATCAGTGGACATGTATGCTGAGCTGCGACATCATGCACACGGATAAACATATGGCGCGTCAGATATTATAGACACAAGTCAGTAACCCATAACGGCCAATGGATCATGAATGTCGAAACGGGGCAAACGTTATAAATATCGCCTGGAACCAACCGTAGGGGATGGGCGGAATTGCCGGGAGGGCGGGCGGTCGCTGGCGAGAAACGGCGAGATTGACAATAGAGAGAGAGAGAGAGCGGACGAGGCGAGAGATCCGGGGTAGCCCGAGAAAGTTTTCCAATTTGAAGCAATTAGTTTGTAGTACGGCGCTGGATGGCATGCATCCAGATAATCGAATATAGGTCAGCGTCTAAAGCGGGATGGGGTCGATCTACGGTCAGAGAGGTTGCGGGAGCGGAAAGGCGGTGAGGGAGAAACGGGAGGAGAGAGCGGGAGCGAATTTCCCGAGTGTGTGCACGTGCGGCAGGTCAACCCCGTCGCACTTCTGGCATGTCCGACGCGCATAAAACCACGTGGCACGATTCGAGAGATAGAGAGAGAGAGAGAGAGCGAGAGAGCGGCTGCCTTAGAATTCCCCACCGCGGTAATCGATTGATCGATCGCCCTTCCCCGATCTACAACTGCAATTGATCGATGCACGCGGCCGCATCAGCCGGGTCGGGTCCGGCCGGCCGGCGTCTTCGGACACGGTGATAGAGCTTTAAACTTTTCCGCTGTACGTACGTTTGCGGGAACTTGCTCGGGCGAGATATGCGAGGAAAGAAATTGCGATATTGCAATTTAACAACCTGCAACGTACAGGTGTGTTATTTTTAGTGACAATTCCACAGAGTAAAATAATTGGAAAATACAAAAAACACTGAAATACAAAAATAATTGTCATTTATATTTTAGAAATAGATTGTAATTACTATTTTCTAAGCTTTACTCGATTGTGACTGACATTTTGTATATTTTTGTTCACAGAATCCGAGGCCAGCTGGGAGGAATGGTGGACCTACGACGGCATTTCCGGTGAGTGATTTTTCCGTATTTATTTTATGAACTTGCGTTTAAAAACTATTTATGTTTAAGCACGTGTCAATGTCCGACACCCTTTCCGCTTTCGAATTTCTAACGGACGTGCATATACACAATGCAAATTGTTAATTAGCATTATTACTATTTAATGGTCGTTCACATTATCTTCCGTCGAGGAACGTAACCGAGAGAGAGAGAGAGAGAGCTCGCGACATTTTTTCGCTTCGCTGCCGCTTTTATGTGTCGCGCGTAATTTCCGCGTTCTTCTCTTTTTTGATATTTCCGACTGTCGCGCGGCGTGATAGACAAAGTAGGAAACTTAACCGGCCCGTTGCACCAAGTTTGTTCATTTCGCGCAAAATTCTCGCAACTTCACTATGGAATACCGAGGTTTACACGACGTTAATAGCAGAATTAATGTTATCCCGAGGACGTGGCGCGAAGTATATTACATACTTAAAATTAATTTTATATTACGATATATACTGTATGAAACGCGGGAACTAATTTATCGCGCTAAATCTATATCTTCTCGTCGCGCCGGCGTCAGCGAGATGAAGCCTCTATAGATGTATTAAAATTCAGTCTATAAAAATGCGTTCGATAATATGCACAGTGCATGATATCGCAGGGGACATTATATTGAAATGCGATTACTATTAAATTCCTGAGAACAGTATTTCGCGAGCTTAGTCCGCTCGTGCGGCTTCCTAATTTTCTTAATTTTAAGTTACGAGGCCATCGAGTGCTTCCGGGCACCGGTGAATTTTTTAATCTCGGCGCCTTCTCTCGCGCTGCCGCCCCTTTCTACCCTCTTCCACCCACGTCGTAGTTTTTATTAAAAATAAGGCGAGCACCGATAAGACTGCATCGCGCCGGTCCAGGGTCTTGAGTTTAGTGTTGTTCCACCATGTAAGCCAGCTGCCACACGAAAAACAGTACCGTATACTCAGGCGTTGAAGCGTTCGCATAAAACGCCAAAAATTTCAGCTGCGCCCCCGTGTTTTCTTTCAGCCCCCCTCCCCCTCTTTTCCCTCGATCGTGCGAACCTTACGAATTTCCCTTCAGCCTGTTGACGTTGCAGAGGAAAGTTGTTGATCTCATTTCGGAATTTATGAGCGCCACAGAATTTCGCCATCGATTAGCTCGAGTACCGCAACGAAATTAAGTTCGCCCCGCGAACTACCAGTAATATCGTTATCATGAGCGATATTCTTGTAACGGCAAATTTGTCACGTCGTCTTCTCTAGTTTCTACTTTGTATTTTCTACTTCTGTGCAATGTGGATTTCAAAAAATTTCCGAGGGAAATCAAATATTGCTCTAATAAAATAACGACGGAATGTATTTAGCAAAGATCTCATTAAAGATTGCGAATTTTACTTATTAATATTATTAATTACGCATAAACTATGCTAATTATATATAAACTATGTTAATTATACGTAAACTATACTATTTACAGTCTTACAATTTTATGTTAGTTTTCTGATTGAATTTTGAAAAAACGTACGGTTATCAGAAAAATAATATATCGTTAACACTTAATTCTTTTGAAGACCAGCTTACGGTCGATCAAATCGCGCTACGCGTAGAATCGAAAGATTTTTTAATCCAAGTGGTTCGTACTTTAGGTACACCCGGTACGTCGCCGTATTGGCTAGGTGACTTATTACTGTGATCGGTGGCAGGCAGGAGTCGATTTTTAGGGTTCACCGGTGTCTCATATGGTGGGCAGATGGGCTTCTCGTTTTACAACCAATAAGCGCGCGCCCTCGGTCGCGCACTTTGAACTGTCGTTACGTACTTCGCTTTCCCCGGATTTATACAGGGTTCTTCAGAGCTTACCGGGTTCTCTTTCATCTGCGGAATCTTTGACGAATTTGAGAGCGAGTTTTTCCCAGTGAAAATTTGATTACTCGCTGCTTTTTCTCTAAAGTAACGTTTGACATTTTTTAGATAACTTTTAGATGGAAACGCAAAAAAAAAAAAATACTGACGAATTAAATTGAATGAGAAATAAAATTTCGTTATCTATCCGCACTTTTGAAATTTAATTTGCCGGAAAGATTTAATTAATTTAATTGTTTTGTTAAGAAAAAAGCTAATTGCAAATTAAAGATATCAAAGTTTCGCACGCGTAATTTTTTGCTGACGATTTTAATAGATTTTTTTTGTGACATTGTATATTTTTATACGAGCAGCGCAATGTGGAAGGTTGCCAATTTCATAAAGTGTACGCGAGTGCAACGTACATGAGCAATTGCATTTGCGCGTGTATTTACGCGGCAGCGGAATAATCTGGTTATATTACAACACAGATTGCACGATGTGCAAGTTGAGCACTTATGCTTCTTTCGACCTCAAAATGCACCGCCGCGGCAATCATGTTTACCGGGCGACGCGACTCTGATTTTATGAACGACGCTGTAGTACATGATATATCTTCGATTTCTCCTCGAGGATACTCGAGCAAACTACTGGCTGAACTTTGCTACCGTTGTTATATTATAAATGTGAGACGAAAGAAAAAACTTTTAAGATATATCGCTTCGATTATTCGCGAACACACCGCGTATTTCAGATCTACCGCCACTTTTCCCGGCCACAAACACTCGAGGGAAACGATGTTAAAGTAATATCAATTATTGATGGTACAAAATTATATTGCTAATTTCCAACATAAAAAATTGTTGATAATTATTTTTCCATGTTAAATTCATGTAAATAAGCAAAATTTGATTTTTCCATTTTTCCGAAGTTTCCGCTGTCACGATTATGCTAATTCATTACTATTATGCATTTAAATTGCGTGGTGTCGATTTTAAGAGATTAAGCAATTTCAAGTTGGCGCGAGATCCCGCAATACGAGGAATAACCGCGGTTACGGAATTAAGTTGCGAGGATTATTAAGGGTTGAGAATTGTGACGAAGTCAAGGTGAATCATCGGACGAATGAAAACGCGCCTGGCGAGATGGCTTGCGAGAAAATCTTTGCGAATGCGGAACTTTTCTGCTACGACGACGGGATTAAGCTCGGCGCGCGCGAGTCCTCCTTTACTCCGCCACGCAACCGGTAGCATTGGCAGCGCCCTGTTACTCGGCGAACAGTTTCTTAAGCCCCGAAGAGGGAAGCGGTACGAAGCTGAAGATGAAATTTCCGCGATACGGCAAGAATATGTCTTTCCGGGTAAAGATGCTGAAAAATGTAATGCATTTCTCGGGAAATCATGCGCCTCAAGCCAGACGTTGCCATTTTTCACCGCGTACCGCATCGCGAATCACTGCAATTCTCAAATTTTGGCGTAATAGATATGCAAAAATGATTCGTTACAATGGAAGTGCGAACATTTCTGTAAAATATCTGCAGCATGGAAAATTTTAAATTTACTGAAATAATACGTCGGAGAGCGGACTCCTCCCTGATATATTTTTATTATCTTTAGAGTACATTTGAAAACGCGCGGATGTTGACGAAAGTCATATAGAACGAATAAAGCTTGACGAAGTTGAAAATTTCAGTGGATTGAGAAAAAAAAGAGCGGTTTTCCGGCGGAAATTGCGAACGGCCTGTTTCCTTGTCGTCCAAATATTTACACGAATGAATGGCCTTTTCAAACTCCCGTGCGTTCTCAGGGCGTACCTGGACCAGGTTTGCCCGCGCTAAGTTTTGGGTAGCAACTGAGAGTGCCCGACTACCCGGATATTTGCACATCCGCGTTAAATCACTAACACTAATGTATTTATGAAGGAGAAGTTAGACGAACCTCCGTGCAATACGATAATTGAAATTACCGCGCAAACCAGTTTACCGGCGGGAATTGCGGGCTCCTACGTTCTAAATATTCGAAAGCCTCGCGATATTTGTGTAGCTATGTACGAAATGTTTGCTAGTCGGTGGGACAACTGGAAAATAAATAATTCCTCGTCGCGGAAGTCAGATCTAAATACATTTTTCTTATTGCGAATTTCAATCACGCCGCTCTGCTAGTGAAAATATCGAGTGTAATTATTTGTCGTTGCTTTTTTTGCTTTATCTGCAAGACTTCGAAAATCGCAACGTATCATATTTTTTTTCTTTTTTTTTGCTTTCAATTTCGACGGTTTTTACTCTCAAGTTTGTCGAAAGAACAGGAAATTTCTTGAACCCTAGCCTCGGTGCGGACCCTTATCCAAATTGCGGAGTTGTCCGCTGTTCAACAAGCATGAAATCGCCGGACTCGACGTTTGGATCCAAACGTGAACAAGGCGGACGGAAATATCGTACGAAAGCAAGCACCGGGGCAATTTTACAAATGGTTGCACGAATACTGAATGTCCCCGAACGACGGAACAGAGAACGCTGCTATAGCCTCACATAACTAAAATAAATATACGAAAGACGCGAACGTAAAGATCACTTTTTGTGGTTTTCTCAAAATTAAAGAAATTATTTGCGTCGATATTAAATGTTTGCAGATTTCTTGTTATTTCAAAAGAAAAACTCTTACAGTCTTCGATATTTCTTTAAAAAGAAATTAAAAGGAAGATTGTTTTATTTTTTATTTCTACATCTAATTTAATATAAAGTTAAGTTTTTAAATTTTAATATTAGATTAAGTTGAAGCTTTCAAATTTTAATGTCAGATAATTCTATAATTTTGGAATTTAAAGTTGCAGTATTATAATTTTGTTCGCTAGTATATGATTTGAAAAAAATATGTAATTTTGTGTGCTACAAAAATCTCTGATGAAAATAACGCCTGTATATAATTTTACCTGAATCTTCCAAACCTGTTCTGATATATTCGCTGCGTGCCCCGTAGATCATTTCTTCCGTATCTTTCATATCGCATGTGAATATCTCGCGACGCTATCTTTAGGAAGTTAAATGGAAGGACCATGTATGCTCTACATTGCGTACTAAAATCGGACTTCTCGGTTTCTATTTAAAATATCAAAATTAAAAATAAATCTATGGGATATATTTTTTAGTTTACCATTTATTTATTTTAT